TATGTTTGTTTCCACTACATCTTTAGATTTTCGTCAGATCTTTTGCCACTTCTCGCCGTTTCAATGCAGCATCGCGTCTCTGTTTCTTCGATCTTTTCCTTCTTCCTTTCCCTGGAATCATCAATGTCTGAAGGACGTATTCAACGTATTTGTTAGGTCTTCTATTTAAATGCGGCCAGACGAATGGAGCTTGTTTTTAGTATACTGCTTTTCTTTTGTTCAAGCACGTCTACTTTGCCACTTATGATGGTTCTTTGGATTTGATTCTTTTTTGTTGATACCATACATTCATATGATCATTCGTATAATTTTGTTCAGCGCATGAGGGTGATTTCCTAAAATCTCTTCTGATTAGATAATGTCTGTTAGAAATATGGAGACGGTACATCCGACAGTTTAATGTAGCACAAATGAAAATGTTTAGGCGAATGTAAGATGTCAGTGCAGAAGACAGCATTAAAGTTGCTCCTCTATAGATATTGTCCAAGTCAAACTTTTACAACTTAACTTTTTCTAGTACAAAGTGAGCAAGACAATTACTAATGTAAAATGGGGCCTCGAATGCCATTTTACTCAGTGAATTTGACAAAAGAAAAATAACATGATCTTCAGAGAAATGGTCTGGTTATTTGTAATGATATGATGGTGGTGATGAAGACGTTATGACGATAATATCTTGATGGCAACGACTACAAGAAAATTTAGTATGGTTACGAAGATGACGATGTTAACAGCCATGCTGATGGTGAAAATGAAGGAGCTGCGGTCATTTCTGCAAGATGATCCTTTATGTATGGATAACATTAACACAGAATTTCAGAACAAGGGAACAACTCGCTTCTTTCATTTCATTTAACCAATTAGCTTGTTACTAACGGTTGCTTGCCAAGAACAACATGGCATGATTTTGATTGATAAATTCTCTTCTAGAGATATTAGAATTCAGAAGCGCATGTTGCCTTTAAAATTATTTCAGCAGCACTGCGAGCATGATAAATCTTATAATAGCCTTCGATTCTGAGCAATTCTTTCATTACGTTGATGACCAAATCGTTTGTTTTGTAGTTCAACAGTGTTTGGCATTGATGGTCGACATCGAGGATGACGAAGACTGGGCAACAGCGGATGATTACGAAGACGAAGACAGTGATAGGTATGATTTCTGACTTGGTTTAGTCCAGCGCTTTGTATATTATAATGTGATAATAGCAATTCAGTAAAACTTCTTTTACTCAGCCAAAGCCAGCTATGAGAATGTGGGCCATTTTGGGGAAATAGCTGACTTGTTTTAAAAGCGCATTCAAGCGATGATTGACCTACGATTGGATTATTTATTCGCATAGGGGTTAAAAAGATATGCATAATTTATC